TCTCTCTCTCTCTTTCGCTCTCTCTCTCTAATAACTGCGTTAGACTGCATTAATAACTAGGGCTGGGTAAAAAATATCGATATCTCGATATTAATCGATTCTAATTTTTACGAAACTATATTGATTCTTAAATCCCAAGAATCGATTAGTCTAGCATGTTTTCAGTTAATGAAAGGAACACTGAAGTGCACCTCTTATCCAAAATTCGCAATAAGCTTTGTGCTTTGTTACTTCTGATATGAAACAAACTCTCCTATTTCAAATTCTTTCCATTTTATTACAATATTCAAACAATAAATGCTGTTTTGGTGCTGTTTAATGTGGAGTGACAGATCGCTGTAGCGCCTCGATCAACAGCCGCAGCAGCGCGAGGCGCACGTGAACATGACTAAACATCCGAATGTAAGTTAAAAGAATGAGTACAACTTTCATGTTTCCTGTAATCGCTCATTAAGTGTTTCAGCCGCGCAAAGACGTCAATATAACGGCTTGTAAACAATGTCACGGAACGTCACATTTACCTCAGAAAAACATATTCGGTCACCATAAACTCATTAGTCAGCTAAAAAAAATAAACTGTAGAGAGGGGCATTTTGCTAAATATATGCACCATTCATTATAATTTTTTTTTACCGTTCTTTAATGTTTTATTTATGTTTGAATACATCCGTCCAAGTTTTTATGACAGCCACTATTTAAATGTGTATATTTAAAAAAACTAACTGAAGTAATTGTAACTTAATTATTAAAAAAACTTAATTAAGTGCAATTTAAGCAGTTGTACAGCACAAATCAGTCAATTTTAACCTTCAATATTATAGTAATGTTGTACCAACTGACTCTCATGTATATTTTACAGCATTAGTTGAGATTTTTTTTCCTTGAGAAAATTTGGCATGTACTGTACCTGATATATATCCAAAATAATCTATATTGAATCGAATCGCAAGCTTGTGAATGAGAATCGAATCGAATCGTAAAATTTGTGTCAAAACCCAGCCCTATAGTAAACCACAACAAAAATATACGTAAATATAAGATTCTTTCACCAATAACCTCACATATTTCATCACAAATAGGCCTGTCACGATAACAACTTTTTGTTGTGCGATATATTGCCCCAGAAATAATTGCGATAAGCAATATTATTGTAATTTTAAAGACCATTTTATGCCACTGAATATATAATCATAATGTAACAGCATGATAATGCAAGAAGGCCTACACACTTCCAAATGACAACAAACTTTTAATTTTTAAGAATATTTAGATCATGTAAATTAAGTATCAAAATATTAGATACCGTAAAAAAACTTGAATAAATAGTAAATAAACATTTTCTATCAAAAAGTGCAAGTACAAAAAAAGAAAAATGCACAAAGAACTTGTATGGAGATTTTTCCATCTACAGATTTTTCCCTGACCTTATTTTCTCTGTAAATGAAGGGTGCACACTATTGCTGAAAAACACAATCACTACTCAGCAGTCAGATGTCTGTATGCACAAAGGCACAGATCCCTAAACAAGACCATATCTGCAGATGAAACTTTGTTTGTAGAAGCATTTTTTAAATGTGAACTAGCACCTCATGACTACACCATGTTATGTACGAGAAGCTGCAGAAGACACAGGCGTGAGATGAATGCAGAAAACATGGTGACATTAATTTTTAAGTAAATATAATGGGCGATATATTGCGTCACCAAAAATTATTGAGGTCACGTACATATATTGCGCGATAAGTCGATATATTGATTATTGCGACAGGCCTAATCACAAACATAAGAAATCATTTTCAAATTTCCATCCCAAGTTATTTCAACCAATCACCTGAATTGATCTGAATAATGACACTATTGTTTTAAGAAGAGCTGCTTCATAGCTGAAATACAGAGAAAAGTGATTTTTTCCGATGTGTGACGTACCTGCTCGTTCTCGGGAGCTTTTGCAGTTGTATATGGAGAAAGTGTTGTGTCTGTTCAGACTGGGCTCCAGGAAGGCCACAGGAAACGCACCCGAAAACGCAGCCAGACACTCGCCGAGAGCCGGACGCTGCCTGAACACAACACACAACAATCAACTACGACCGCTCACATACACACAGTGCTCTTCAGCACATGACCCTGGAGCACAAAAACAGTTATAAGGGTCAATTTTGGGAAATGCATCATCTGAAAGCTGAATAAATAATCTTTCCATTGATGTGTGGTTTGTTAGGATAGGACAATATTTGGCTGAGATACAACTATTTGTAAATCTGGAATCTAAGGGTGCAAAAAAATCTAAATATTGAGAAAATCATCTTTAAAGTTGTCCAAATGAAGTTCTTAGCAATGCATATTACTAATCAAAAATTAAGTTTTGATATATTTACTGTAGGACATTTACAAAATATAAACAACTGAAGTCTGCTTCAGTCTGTTTTGAATCACTTTGCTTTAATAAGAATAAATCACTCTGTTCAGGATGAATCAATTTGTATATAATGCATCACTTAATTTAGGATGAATTCACTTAAGATGAATCACTCTGTTGTATTCCTCACTTGTAAACTGCTTTGGATTAAAGTCTGCTAAATGAATAAATGCAAATCAAACAGACGGTTTATTACCTCTCAACATAAATACTTTTACTGGTTCCAAGTGAGTACAAACTGTTCAGAATCCGATAGCAGGAAACCTGGACATCATCCACTGCAACGACACAGAGAACATGAGATCTGAGACACGCTGCTGTTCACTAGTGATACGAGATCATATATAACGGCTGATATTAATATCTAGAGAGCAGGAGTCTGATACGATGCAGATATATTCAGAAGGAAGGCGACTCACGTATGAGATCCTCTCCGAACAGGTTCTGTCCGATGTGTTCGAACAGCGATGAGAGGACAGGCAGCAGAGCGATGGTCGTGTAGTTTATGATCTGTGTGACTCCTTTGGGCTGCGTGTGCGCGTGTGTGAACTGACCCTGCCGCAGGTTCTCCATCGTCTTCTCCAGATCTTCTGCTGCGTTGTCAAAAAACGCCCTCAGAGCTGCTTTGACAGAGTCCTGGCCGGTTTTCATCACGGTCCTGGACGCGAAATGCAAGACAAAAACAAGAGCGATGCCAGAGAGATCAACTGAGATCAGTTTCATCATAAACATCTCAATCAACATGTGTGTCCTTCATATATTTGTGTACTCTAGTAAGTGTTAATCTAACATAGGGGTGTGTGTGACTAACCTGGCGTCCAGCGTCTGTCCCAGGATGTGCAGGCAGTTCACGATGGACGTGGCATCATTCCCTGAGAAACACGACGACACGCATTACTGATCTCAGACACACGGACCATCCAACCCATCAGGCTTCAGTGGTTTCCACACTCTCTAGTCTCACTAACAGCATCTAACTTTAAGCTAGTTTCCAAACAGCTTAAATCCACAGAGACGCGTCTTATCACACGACGGCACACTGAAATGTGTCCCTGCATCACAAAAGCAGTGTTAAGTCGCTGGGGTATATTTGTAGCAATAGCCAACAATACATTGTATGGGTCAAAATTATACATTTTTCTTTTATGCGAAAAATCATTAGGATATTAAACAAAGATCATGTTCCATGAAGATATTTTGTAAACTCAGATTCCAGATTTTCAAATAGTTGTATCTCAGCCAAATATTGTCCTCTCCTAACAAACCATACATCAATGGAAAGATTATTTATTCAGCTTCAGATGATGCATAAATCTCAATTTCACAAAATTGACACTTAAGACTGGTTTTGTGCTCCAGGGTCACAAATAATCAAACACATCGCAGCCTTGAGCTCCATCAGATCTTCTTGGACAGAGATTTTAAACTTATTTAATCAACTCTAATGCTGTTTGAGCTCAGATAAACAGCTTTGAGAGCAAGAAACTGATGTCAGTCTCAAAAACACCTCCAGACTCAGAAAACCACCCTAAACACTCTTCAAACGTGACAGACAGCACCTTACCAAACAGTGAGATCCGGTGCCGCACCAGAACGGCCAGTTTACAGAACAGGCTGAGAGTCACAGGAGAGAAAAAACATCAGGATACAGAGGAAGACTATATCACAGGGAGGATAAATCACAGCGCAGAAGAAAACCTGCACGAGAGAATCTGAAGTATTCTGCTTAAAACACACTTCAGCTCCTGCAAACCTGTATTTTGTTTTTACAAACTGAGGAACAAATTAAAGCACGTTTTTATTTTTGCAGACTGACGCTGCACGTGTTTAGTCGTACTGAAGGCAGATTCTTTAAGTTCCAGCAGACACACACACACATCACCTGGTCACCATCTCCTTCTCTTTATTGGAGGCGTGGCCGCCGCTGCTGATTGGTCGAACGGCGGTGGACAGGAAGTAGAGCCGATGGTTTTTGAAGTACTGGTCCACCAGCGGCAGCACAACCTGGAAATGAGCGAAATAATAATTCTATCAGTGTATGAATTTAACAACTGACTGACATGACGTGAATCCGTCAGATGAATCAGACCTTCCCGAAGAATTTGACCTGCTGCTCGTGGGGGATTTTCTCTCCTTTCGGTCGAATTCCAGCATCTGAGATAAAGACGAGAAGCTGATGTGATGATGATGATCAGTGATTCTGAGATCGATACAGGCATTAAAAAGAGCGTCTCACCGTACTCCAGCATGTGTGCGTGAGCTTCATCCACATACGTGATCAGCTGCTGCAGAAATGTGTAGGCGAAGCGTTTCTCTATGGACGGAGCATCCAGATCCTGTTCTTTCATAGCCCTGCTCACACACACACACACACACACACACACACACACACACATACACATACACGTCACACCAATCTGTGATGAGAATTACACTATAGTTCAAAAGTTTGGGGTCAGTAAGGCTTTTTTTTTTTAATAAGTTAATACTTTTATTCATCAAGGATAGAAAACATTTATAATGTTACACAAGATTTGTATTTCAAATAAATACTGTTCTTTTGAACTTTCTATTCATCTGTGAATCCTGAAAAATACAATGTATCACCGTTTCCACAAAAATATTGTGCAGCACGACTGTTTTCAACATTGATAATAATCAGAAATGTTTATCAGCATACTAGAATGATTTCTGAAGATCATGTGACACTGAAGACTGGAGTAATCTGTTTGAAATTATAATAATATTTCACTGTTTTTACTGTATTTTTTATCAAATTAATGCAGCCTTGGTGAGCAGAAGAGACTTCTTTCATAAAAACATCTTACCGACCCCAAACATAAACTTTTAAACGGATGTTTTCTGAAAGAATTCTTTGAATATTTATTAAAGAATATTTATAAGTGAGAGGTAAACCTTGTGTACAGATGAATGTGAAAGAGCAGTACACACAC